ATATGTTGTTGATTATTTCCTCCATCCGGTTTATGCACTCTAGGACCCTTATTCTGAATTCTTTTGCTGTCATGTTGCATGCCTCTGTATCACTTAGCTGCCTTTCTGGGGAGTCCTCCTCTTCTTTCCTTTGGGGGTTTCTTTATCTACCCATGTTTGATCGTACCGCCATATCTAGATGTTGAGTCATTCAGTGGCTGCTCTTTGGGTAGCAGTGGCTCCTCAGGCTGCGGTTGTGGTAGCAGCTGCTCCTCAGTTGGTAGCAGCTCCTCTGGTGGGTGCTGTTCACAGTTGTTGAGAGGTGTTCATCTTGACCTGGAAGACAGCTTTGACCTTTTCAATTGTTTTATTTTACCACTAGAGGCTGGGTGCATGGATTTGTGCACCAGTGGGGTCCTTCTGCCTGGCCTGAAATGGGCTGGAATCAGGCTCCCTCCTCTCTTCTCCCAATATTATGTCACTTTCTCTCTGTATCTGTCTTGCTTCTTTCATCTCACTTTATCCTAAATTTGGCGGTAATTGACGACTTGTGGGCATTTAGCTGAAAAATGCAATTATTTAGCAAACAGGAATTACTTAGCCTGTAACCTAGTCGGCTTAGGGCAGGACCCTGCTCAGTATCAGGCTCCTGCCAGGCCCTTCCGCCCAGGCGGAGTCCTGTGGCAGCTGGAACCTCCTTCTTCCCACCTGAGCTGCTCATTTGCCTCCTTCCCTCCCCAGAGGTTGCCTGCTGGTGCTACTGTCCACTCTGGAAGGATGGAAGCCATGGCTGGTTTCCCAGCTGAGAGTGGTAGCTGGAAAATTCACTGCCTCCACTGGAAATCCATATTAACCGTTTGACTGCTAAGGAGCGCTATCGCGTTCTTCTTATTTAAAACAAATTTATGTAAACAATTGGTATTTTTTAATTTTTGTTGTTGCAAAGCAATACAAGTGAGTTTATTGTATAAAAAGTGTTTTTACATTTTTTCCCATACACGCGCAATTAGTGCCTGTAGTTTTGGCATATGTCCGAAAAAATACGGCAGCAGCCAAACGGTTAAAAAGAAGTAGGTTTTCTGGATCCAGGGACGGGGCGGGGTGCGGTGGGGGGGCGGGGGGGGGGGGGGGGGGGGGTGCAGTCAGTAGGTCCTATATGTCTCATCATTTAGCTAATTGAGTCGAAAAGTTTCTGTAAGGGCCAGACCCATGACCTCTGCAATGGGCTAGAGTCAGACCCAAAGTGGGGAGCCAGTGGGCTAGAGGCCCGATGCCACAGATTTGTGCACTGGTGGGGTCCCCTGGCCTGGCCTGTGGGGATGGAGCTGAAACCAGCTCTCTGACATTCCCTGAGGGGTCCTGGATTGCGAGAGGGAGGTTCTCGAGTGACGCACCCCAGAATCGGGCTCCCTCCTCTCTGGTTCCAGGTGCATCACCCAAGAACCACAGCTGCCAAGTCACCACAGCTTGGCAGCTCCTGCATTGAGCATCTGCCCCCTGGAGGTCAGTGCACATCATAGCTACTGGTTGACCGGTCACTTAGGCTTTTATATATATGGATTATTGCAATGTGTTGGAGATAGGAGGTTGTGTGTGTGTGTGTGTGTGTGTGTGTGTGTGTGTGTGTATGTGTGTGTGAGTGGGGGTGCTCAAGGCAAGAACTTGAAATGCCTTCTTGAGCCAAAACTTACATAGAGGGTTGTAGCCTGAAACCTAACTTTTAATGATTTCACACTAGCTGCCACACTGAAATTACTCATGGATGCTCAGAATGCCTCTCCAGGGGTTCTGATATTGGTTCACTCTATGTTCACCTGAGATGGGCCCGAGGCAAGACAAAGGTGGGGATGGAGGAGTAAGTGGTCATGGGGAAAACAAGAGTGTTACTGAGGTTGGACTTCTGTTCTTTGCGGCCTGTGGACTGAAGGGTCCCAGGTTCGATTCCGGTCAAGGGCATGTACCTTGGTTTCAGGCACATCCTCAGGAGGGGGTGTGCAGGAGGCAGCTGATTGATGTTTCAAACTCTGTATCCCTCTCCCTTCCTCTCTGTAAAAAATCAATTATATATATAATTTTTATTGATTAAGATATTACATATGTGTCCTTATCCCCACATTATCCCCTACCCCCCGCTCATGCCCTCACCCCCCCGTTGTCCGTGCACTTTTCTATTCTATTGGATTGTCTCTCTTCTG